GGTGGCTATTGCTTGGAGGGAGAGTCCCCCTCCCTACGACCACGTGTCAGGGGCGGAAAAATGGCTGCAGACCACGTGTCACGGGCGGAAAATGGCCGTGGACCACGTGTCAGGGGCGGGAAAATGGCCACGTATCCTGCTTGTATCCCGAGGCGGAGTTCGCAAATTGAGGTAAATTTTTGCGTCCGGAGCTGGTCATAACCCGAAAAGTTCATTAACAGAGGCATTCGTAACCCGAGGTACCACTGTACATAGATTTCAGGATGAACGTGGCCATTTTTTCTTCTTGGCATGACTACGTCTTCAATTTTTAAAAATTAATTTTTATTCACACACACACACAAACACCCACCTATTTGGCTTCATGTGAGGTTAGTGACCTGATAAGTCGTTATTGGCCAGGCCTTCTCATGAGCTTTGTGGTTGATCCCAAAGAGCTTCTGTGCCCACCTCCCACAGCTGAGGGTCTGGCTGACATAAAACGTTTGCACAAGCTCAGAGATGAACCAGGGTTCCGAACTGATCAGCTGTTATCATTTCCCCCCTGATTCCCCTGCTCTTCTTTTGGGGAGTGGGGTGTAGGATGCATTTCAGAATGAGATGTTTGCCCTCAAGCCCTTAAGCGAGCTTTGGAGACACAAAGCTCCAGAAAGCCAATTCTTTCCTTACAGCCCACTTGCTCATTTCTCCAAACTAAGAAATCTGTCCCATGTTCTTCCGTTTCTTTTATTTCTTTCATAATTATTGTATTGTATTCTCTATTATGTCTGGTTTTATAGTACATCACCCAGAGTTAGTTCGGAGCCGGGCAGTGCCTAAATTGAATTAATGTAATGTAATGTAGTTTAATTTAATTCAGCAAATGGGATGAAAGAGAGAGGTTGTAGAAATGGAGAATTTTACTGGCAGGTACCCCGGAGCCCACCGTTTTGAAATGCAAACTCTCGCCCGTGAATTTCATCCTTCATGTTTTGATCCAATTGTGATTGATTGGATGGATCAACCAAGGACGATGCGGCTCAGGAGCGGCGACAGCTCTATCAATAACCTGATCCCAGGGGTGGCGCAGGCTTCTGTGGGAATGCCATCCGCTGACTTGGATGGCAAGTTTGGTCCTTGGGTCCTGACTGCACTTACTGATGATTTGGGTGAAAGGAGGAGTCGGGTGCCATTCCAGGGAAGTGTCCAAGAGCAGAGGAAGCAGTCGAATGCAGTCCCCAACCAGATCCATCCAGCCCAGCCTTACCAGCTCAGATTAATTGCAGATGGACATTCAGATCATACCAGCTTCTTTGCCTCTAATAGAAGTTCTGGTGGAGGCCAAAAGAAGTAAGGTACTATGACTGAGGGAACCTCTCCAGCTTTGCAGGAGAAGATGGTAAGAACTGGGCATTTGGGATGTCAAATATTAGTTGGAAAAGGAATCTGAGATAGAGGATGGAGTGTCCACCTATGGGCCCTTTCATCATATACGAGGCTCAGTGGTGGGCTGACTTTATCTGGACCTGCTTAGAACTTGGATGGGAGACCCCCAGAAATTCCAAAGGTTTGGGCTAGACTGGGAAGTTGGGAAAGCATCTTGGAAGAATGTAGATACTGTTGTCAAGAAGATGACAAGGAGTTATCCATGAAGACATCAGCTCAGCCAAAGGAATTTTGATTTTTACTTTGTCTCAGTGT